GGCAGCAATGAAGAGTCTGCTGACATCTATTGTTTTCAGCAAGGAATGTAGAAATCAGGATATTTTGGGGAAGTGGTATATCAAATCAGCATATATTTAATGAAGTTGCATAAAAATAGTTGTATATTTGGGGAAATTGCATGAAAAGTGATGTAGGTTACAGGTGTTTATACAGAAAAACACAGTATTGAGTGTATCTTTATAAAAGGAAGGTATATAACATTGTGAAAGACATCCAGAATCCATACAATGCCAACTGAGGATTTTTCCAGTGGTGTTTTTGTTGAGATATTGGACCATATAAAATGAGTCTTTGAAACAGGGGGTCCACAAAAAAGTTAAGATAATGGCCATGGTCATAAGGTCAGGATCAGAGTGTTCCACACATCTCTGCTTTCTGTCTAAATAATGAATATGTAAGACTCATTCATCTTCTTATGTACCCAGCTGGTTTGCCATGAAGATAAAAGTCTATTTCCTTGATCAGTGTTTCTTAAACTTTTCAAGACCTCAAAACATTTATCTGTCTATCTGTGTGTGTGTGAGGGGGAAAGAGAGAGAGAGAGAGACTAAAGAAGTATGAATATTTCTTTAAAAAGGGGAAATATTGAAATGAAACATATTTAAATACTCTACATTTAATATGTCAATTATCTATCATAAGTGATGTATGAACTGTTGGCATATTTCCTCAATGTCTGCTATGAGATTTATTAATGAAAGTCTTAGAGTTGGCACTGATATTCTGCCTATTTCAGTATTAATATTGAATATTTGATCTTAGTTTTAGTGAGTAGTGAAAATCCACTCTCACAATGTTAAAGGAAAAGGTTGTAAGATCTTTAATGCCTTTTCTCTAAAAAGCTCATCTTCTCTGTGTATTTTCATCCAAAAATCTTTTAATTATGATTCCCCCACCCCCCAATAGTTTCAGTGTGATGCCTGAGAAGAGATCTGCCAGCATCTTTTTATTCACGGACACGGTGCTTGTTTGGCTAATGGATTGCAAACCTGGAACTGCCCTTCACAATATTTTCATGTAGCTTGGGGAATACTGGGGGTTCCAGGAAAATAGTTTAAGTAACACTGAACTAGACCGAATTAGTTGCCAGGATTTCAGAGCTAACTTGGGATAAATTAATTAAGATAATAGAAGACAGTGGGGAAAAAACTGAAATCAGAGAGATTACTACAGCATTTCTAGAAGATGGCCTAGGGAATATAACAGTTGAAACTATTCCATATGATTAGTTAGTCTATTTTTAAGATACCCATCTGTTTTGATTAATAATTATCACAAATACATGCCTGATTTGACTTTATCTGGATATATATTTATCAGCCACAGGAAACATCACCCTTAACTCAGAAACAATGGTCAAGAGAATGATTTAATTGTTGACCCAAGGCTCTCAATAGGACTAACTAGTAAATGGCCACATTTCTCAGCATATCCCCACAGCCTCCAACAGTCCAGTTTGGAGATAAATTTTACAGTCATTAAAATGACTATCTCCTCTCCTCCGCCCTTTGAAGGAAAAAGCTGAGTGTTTTGATGAAACCTTTGCTTCTTTTCCCAGTCTCAGTGCACTTGTCCTAACTGCTGATTTTCGGTGGAAACCCTCTACATCCCATGTAATTTTAAAGCTATGGTAAGGTCACGAGTCTCACTTTTGCTGCTCTGATGAAGCACATGTCTATTTTCAAAATAAGTTTCCTCCTCTCTCTGTGGATGCCATTTGTTTGAGTACTGAGGTGTTTACAAAACAATAACAGTTTCCATTCTGTAAAAAAACAAAACAAGACAAAACATAAAAAGACACTATCACATTATTTTTACAGCTGTCAGGGAGTGTTGGCTTGCACTTTGGTTTGGTTTTCCCATGTTCTCACAGATCTAAAGATAAACCAGAGGGATTCATTTGTTTAATGTTTGAAAAACTGATGAAACACAGCTAATAAGCAATTAATTGAAATGGCTTTGTGTATTACATTGTTCTTAAAGATATAAGAATATTTATAAAACTATGTGATTATCTTAACCCAACATCATTCATGTTAACATGCTTTCAAATGATATGAATTATTTTGTTAAAATATTTACAACTGTTATACCCATCAAACATTTATGCAACCTACACTTTTCAAACTGGCTTGGCATTCATTTGGAGTCATTGATGAGTCACAGAGATCTGGTAGTCATATAATGGGGCAAATTAAGGCCAATTTCATCCACATGACAGCATTCTGGGTGTGATCGTAACTGTGATATGAGAAATCAGTCTTTATTTCTTTTACAAGGCTAATAAGTCCATAAGAGTCATTGCTTATTTCAAGGTTGTCTGGTTATGTAGATAGTAAGGAAGATGGCCTTGATGCAGATATGCAAGATCTGTTACTAGGGCAATGAGGGGTGAAAAATATTTTAAGTACACAACAGACAATGTTCAGAAGTGGTTCAGATAGACACCTTTCTAATTCACTGAAGTATAAGAAGGGGGAGTAGGTTCAGCACAATTAGACTTGCAAGATTCTGTTACTATAGCCAATCTCAAGAAAAGTAGTTTTAGCCATCCTGTGGAGTTGATATCTTGGTCTGGTGTACCTAGTGGAGCTGACAGGTTAACTAGCAAAAGAAGTGATCCACTTAGGGAAGATGGTGTACCGTCACATTGATTTTCTAAGGAGATGACTGATTATAATAAATGGGAGAAGCGAATGCCTAAGAAGACACAGCAGAATGAAGAAACCTAAGGTAATAATAAAGGGCTGCTTTACTATAGTTAAGAATATTTCAAGTAAATTCATACAATCTGGCACCTCCCAGATGCATAGGACTACAGTTCTCATGTTCCCTAACTATGACCCCCAGGAGGCATCAAAGAGACACTGGTAGTTATCACTACATTGCTCAGTGATGTAAAGGAGGGACAGGGGAAATCCACAAGCATCACACTTTTCAGCACACTGCCAATGACATCATCATCACCACCACCATTATCACAGACAATACATTCATTGGTGCCAGTCTCTCTGCTGGCAGTAAACAGGCAATGATAATAGCCAGTAATATCACTGCTACTGCTACTTCCTATTGCTAGAGAACAGGGCATCACTGCAGGTTGGGGAACAGTGCTTTAAAAATGTATGAAATTACTGGAGGATAGTCTATCAATGAATATGATAGCTATACTATTTTCTTTTTCTCTGTGGAACATTTTCATAGAGTCAGTATACGGAAGTCCAATTATCTAGTAGTAATTGCAGCCATTCATTCACTCCCATACAGAGTTGAAACCGATGAGTTACACCAAACAAGGCTAAACCATATTAGATAAGTATTAGAGGGGAACCAGAACTGCTCCTTCATTAATCTACTAAAGATAAAGTTACTATTTCACAAGAACCTTGGGGTATAAATGAGAGATACTAGGGATGGAGAGGGCTGTCTTGTAAATGATCTGGGTGCCTTTTGTTGAAAAACATGATTGGTTGGACCATGATCTGAGCAAGTAATGTCAGTATAATCTTTTACCTTTCTCTCTTTTAAAACGTTACTTCATCTATTCTAGGATTTCTTTGTTCTGGCAGCATTCTTCAGGATTTATATGCCAGTTTATTTAAAAATCATCATCAGCCACTGAGTTATGTTCCAGGCTTGAACCTGACAGGGTAGTGGTGATCAGGACTGAGGATTATGTCCCACTTTCCATTTGTATATGTAATGGAATGTATCTACAAAGGGGCAGGTGGTTTTATGGAATGCAGAGGAGGAGACAAGAGGCAACATGGTCCAGTGCAGGAGCATGGGAAGAAGAAGAGACTTAAGATAGCCACTCCATAGATTCTTCCAAAGTATATCTATTAGGTTAGCATAATACAGATTTAGTATGGCAAGATTCTGTCTATATGGTGTAAGCAATAAAGAACTGAACTTGGCTGGATTTTTTCCCTGTTGTTCTTGGGCTGGGCTTGCCGGCTGGGGAATTCTGGGAGTTGAAGTTCACACATCTTCAAGCTGCCAAGGCTAAGAAATACTGGTATAGCCCTTATCTGCATCAGGAGACTGGTCACTCAGTAGCTCATGTAGTTCCATCCCTGAGTAGAGCTCTTTCACAGCCCTTAAACATCTTTTCAGCAAAAATTTGATTCTATCATGAGCTATGATCAGGAATGTATGATACATGATCCAAAAGAAGGAGGGTTGGAAGGAACCGACCAAAATCCTACTGAAGGGAAGAAGCCATTGTACTAGTAGAATATTGACTATTTCTGGCCCCAATCCATTACAGACAATTTTGTTTGCCAGATGTAACAGAGGATCTGGCATATCACTTGATTTTTTGGTTGATTTCCAGAGTCAGAACTGATGCTGGTTTAATTTAGCAGGACATCTCATGGAGACTTTTTTTTTTTTTACATAGCTATTTCATGCTATTTTTCAAGCAGACAAATATGAATTGAAATAGCAAGCTTTTTTGGGGGAGGGAGAGATGAGGTAATTGAAAAAATCACAAAATTATACTGCTTGACTAATCAAAAGGAAAAAAGAAAACTCAGATTCAACAAAGGTCGTAATGTTAACCAAGTAAAATTAGAGTGTAACGACCTGACACTCACAGCTTCCAATTCCTGTAACTCTCCTTGCAACCAGTCATGGTTCAAACAAAAGTTCATTTATTGAGAATCAGTGTACAGTTCCAAAGCATTGCTAAGACTGAGCCCACACATGCCAAAAGTTGCTTTTACCTTTTTTCCTTCTTTCCCCCTTCACCCCCCTAACGCCCCATTCTTCTCACATTCTCCCAGTGGTACGACCTTGAACATGCCACCATCTCTGATAGGAGCCCATCTGCCTCTAATGGTCAGTTCCTCCATCCATCTTCCCATAACCTTCCAGCCCCCCCCCCATGTCTTTTAATGGCAAGCGAAAAAACCAGCTATTAGCATGATTAAATAGTTGCGAGGATTCTGACATGCCGCCCCTCCAGAAAAAAGACTCATTCAGATGAGGTGTAATTGTCAGTCTGAAAAAGAAAAAGAGAAAACCATATAGATACAAAGTTATAATATAATGTTACGTAAGCTTGTTTGGGTAAGCATGGTAAAACTTTTTGATTAAGTCTGGAGCCTTCACATTTTTCTTGTCCACCCACTCTGCTAAAGATCTAGGAAAATGCTTCCATTGAATTAAAAACTGCAACCCCCCTCTATGTTTCCTACTGTCCACAATTTCTTTCACTTCAAAATGTTGCTCTCCCTCAACCATAATGGGTTTGGGTGTTGGCTGTGTGGGGTGCCATTGAGAAGATTCCTTGCACAGTTTTAGCAAATCATAGTGAAAAATGGAATGAGTTCTCTTGAATGTAGGAGGCATCTGCAACCAGTCTGAAACAGGGTTGATCACCTTTTCAATAACAAATGGCCCAACAAATTTTGGCCCTAGTTTTTTTTGAAGGTTGTAAGGATTTCAAATGCCTGGTAGACAAAAGGACTTTGTCACCAACTTTCCAGTTCTTTTCTGGAGTTCTTTTGTGGTCGGCAAATTTCTTGTACGTTGCTCTCGCCTCCTCCAATGCTGCAGTAATATTAGGCCACACTTGAGTCATCTGTTGGATCTACTCATCGGCCAAACTTACCTGAGTAGACTCCTGAGGTAGCTTCGGGATTGGCACAAAGTCTTGCCCAGTAGCTATTTTAAAAGGAGTGAGCCCAGTACTTTGATGCACTGCATTATTATAAGTGACTTCCCCAAAGGGCAATAGATCATCCCAATTGTCTTGTTGGTAATTGATAAAATATCTCAAATACTGTTCTAACACAGAGTTCAATTGTTCTGAAGCCCCATCTGTCTGGGGGTGGTGACTCGAACTCAGTGCCTGGGGTGCACCAATCAGCTTTAGGAACGCTCTCCAAAACTTTGCAGTGAACTGGACCCCGTGATTGCTTACCACTCATTCTGGAACCCCATGAGCTCGGCAGACATGCTGAATAAACAACTTAGCCAGTTTAGTGGCCGATGGGATGGAGGAGCAGGCCACAAAATGAGCCTGCTTGGAGAATAGGTCGGTGACTACACAGATGACTATCTTTTTGTTACTTTCAGGCAAGTCCACAATAAAGTCCATGGCAATCTGCTTCCAAGGTCAGTTTGGGGTTGCCACTGGCTGCAGAAGCCCCATTGGCTTCCTTCCCCTCTTTTTTGCCATGGCACATGTGGGGCAGTTAGCAACATAGTCTCCCATATCTTTCCTCATTGTTGGCCACCAAAACTGGTGCCTCAATAAATGCAGAGTTTTCACAAATCCAAAATGCCCAGCTGTTTTGCTGTCATGGCCTCTTTGTAGGACACATTGACATGCTTCAGCAGGCATGTATAGTTTGTCTTGGCACCACCACGCCCCTTGCTTATTCATCAAAGAGCTTTTATTCTTTTTAAACCAGTCGTCCTCTGATATTTGGCTGTTCAGTTTCCCCAACAATTCCCCCTCTGGTAGTCCTCCAGCCTTTTTACTCTGTGCTCTGTTAACTACCCTCAAGCCCGGCTGGATGCACGGGTGCGATTACTTCCTCCCATTTGCTGTTGTGTTGGGGCAATCTGGACAGAGCATCTGCCAGGAAGTTCCTTCTCCCAGGAATGTACTTTAGGGAGAAATTAAACCAGTGGAAATACTGAACCCACCTCATTTGCTTTGGGGACAATTTCCTTGGGGCAGTCAAGGCTTCTTGGTTTTGATCAGTCCAGATTTCGAATGGGTGGGGTGATCCCACTAACAGGTGCCTCCAGCAAACTAACGCCCAGCGCACCACGAACGCCTCCTTCTCCCACACTAACCAGTGCCTCTCCGTCTCTGAGAACTTCCACAAAATGTAGGCACACAGGTATAACTCCCCTGATTCCACTTTTTGCAACAGGAAGCCCCCACTGACACAGTGGAAGTATCTGCCTGAATGACAAATGGCTTATCCGGGTCGGGGTGTTTCAGAATTCGTTCTGCCATGAACAAGTGCTTTAACTCTTCAAAGGCTTCCTGGCATTCCCTGGACCAGGCTAGTGGAGCCCTGGGTTTTGAGGCTTTCGCTTTATCCTTGCCCTTAGTTTTTAATAAATCTGTGAGCAGAAGCGCCACCTGCGCGAAGTTCAGAATGAACTGGTGGTAAAAATTAGCAAGGCCCAGGAAACTTTGAAGCTGCCACTGCATCTTGGGAGCCTCCCAGCCAATTACATCCCTCACCTTGGCTGGGTCCATCTCAATCCCCTGATGCAATATCCAATACCCCAAATAGTCAATGTGTTCTTTATGGAAATTGCACTTAGACAGTTTGGCAAACAAATGCGCCTCCAACAGCTTCTGCAATACTTTCCTCACCAATTTCACATGCTCCTCCATGTTTTCAGTATAAATCAATATGTGATCCAAATAAACCAAATCCCCCTTATACAAGTCCTCTTGTAAAACCTCATTTATTAGTTGCATGAACACCCCTGGGGCTCCCTTTAATCCGAATGGCATGACTTTATATTGGAAACTCCCTAGGGGGCAGTTAAACACCATCTTCCATTCATCCCTGTCTCAGATTCACACCCGGAAATAAACATCCCGTAAGTCCAGCTTAGTAAACTTTTTTTCCTTTGGCCAAGTGGGCTAATAAGTCTTTCATTAGCGGCAGCGGATTGTCTTGGAAAATGGCATTAAGCCCCCAATAATCTGTGCATAGGCATAAGGAATTCTCCTTCTTCTCCCTAAACAGCATCAGCGCCACTATTTGGGAGTGAGTTGGTTCGATAAATCCTCTCTGCAGATTTTTATTGATAAACTCCTACAGGGCTACCAGTTCCTTAGGAGTCATAGAATACATTTCCTTCCTCAGGAATTTAGCCCTGGGTTCAATCTCTATGCACTCACTGGCACGGTGGGGAGGTAGTTGGTCTGACTCCTTTTTGCTAAACACTGCTTGCAAATCGTGATATTGCTTTGGAATTTGTTTCACAGTCCCATCTGCCACTTCCACACTCACTGCAGCCACCTCCCTCTCCGATGACTTCTCAACAACCCCTCTCACCTCCGCACTGCCCTCGTTCGGGAACTGTAACATCTTCTCATCCCAGTTCACCCTTACTATACTTAACAGTCTAGTATCAGTGGTAGAGTCCTTCAGGTTCCTGGGCTTTATACTTTCCCAAGACCTGAAATGGACGTATAACATTACAGCCATTATTAAAAAGGCACAGCAAAGGATGTTTTTCCTGCGGCAACTTAGGAAGTTTAAATTATCCCAGGAGCTCTTGGTGCAGTTTTACAGGGGAATCATTGAGTCTCTTGGCCAAAGGAAAAAAAGTTTACTAAGCTGGACTTACGGGATGTTTATGACTCAATGATTCCCCTGTAAAACTGCACCAAGAGCTCCTGGGATAATTTAAACGACTCAATGATTCCCCTGTAAAACTGCACCAAGAGCTCCTGGGATAATTTAAACGACTCAATGATTCCCCTGTAAAACTGCACCAAGAGCTCCTGGGATAATTTAAACGACTCAATGATTCCCCTGTAAAACTGCACCAAGAGCTCCTGGGATAATTTAAACAACATCCAGACATCAGAATAGTTTTTTCCCTCGTGCCATTGCTTTGCTGAATACCATGTGATCTTTTTTTTGCTCTTATCCAAATGCACCATTGATTTTGCTGTTATTACCGAAGATAAATTCCTTGTGTATGTTTTATACTTGGCCATTAAAGTATTGGTATTGGTACTGGGTTCCTCCTTTTCATCCCCAAGATTAAGGGGTTGGTTGCCATGGAAGTCACTAAAGTCCCCATCCTCAACTCGAGTTTTTCTGTACAGAACTCCATGGGACCCCTGCCCCCTGCTGGGGATCCATCTAGCTGAGTGAATATCACTGGGGTTTTGAGTCTCCTTACTCTCAGTCCCAGCCCACGGGCAACTGTGGGATTTATCAAGCAACGGTAGCACTCTGAGTCTATAAGAGCCCGCAAGTCAGACCTACAGTTTGTCCTCAACACCCTCAGCTTCATCCAGACTTTGATGGGACTCATCCCTGTTTCTTCACTCTCCAAATCCTCTTGGGATTGCTCCTACTGCTTGGGAAGTGATGCCTGCTGCTGGATAGGTGGCGGAACTAGCAATTTCAGCCTCTTGCTGATGCGTCAAGCCCCAGGGGTTCCCAGCCCCACCTCCGCACTGGTTGCTGCTGTCTCATTCCCAGACTTTGGAAGCTTCGATATCTTCCACTCTACCTCCCTCCCTCCAGCTTCCGCTTTCACTTGAGGACACGCAGCTGTGAAGTGACCCGGCTCTCCACACCTAAAGCACACCTGGGAACTCCGGCTACCCTCTGGTGCACTTGCTTCAGGTTTGGTCCCAGCCTTCTTAGTTCCCAGTATCGCCGGCAATGAACGGGTTCTCACTTCCACAGTACGCTACTGCTCCTCCTCCTCTCCTGCCATAGCAACCCATCCGTTAAGGGTCTTCGGGTAACCCCGACATACCACCCACTGCAACAGCTTGGGCTGCAAACCCCGCTGGAAGAACTTGATGAAGAGTCCCTCTGGGATGTCCGGGAGCTTCTGGGCTAGACCCCTGAACTCAAACACAAACTCAGACACTGTCCTGGAACCCTGCTTGAGCCTTTCCAGGTCTTGGCATGCATTCAGGGCGACACACGGGTCTTCAAAACGGGTGCACAGGGCTTCCATAAAGTCGTCCAATTTTTGCAGGGCCTGATCCTTTGTGCAGTGCATTCCGACGACCCACTCCGTTGCCGTGCCTTCGAAGTAACTCAACACGTAGGAAACATTCTCAGCTTCACTACAGGACAAATTCCCATATCCCTCCATGTAGATTCTCACCTAGGTGAGAAAACAGGCCAGCTGCTTGGCATTTCCCGCGAATTTCATGGAGATTCCCCTCTGCTGCATCGAGCTCTTTTTCACTTGTCTGGGTGAGTAGTCCTCATCCTCTTCACTGGACGTCTCCCCCTCACCCGATCACTTGCCCAGCTTTGACAATCCCAGGGTTACCTCCAGTTCCTGGGCAGGGGGCGTAAGGCCACCCCCCAGCACTCAATCCAGCACAATCCTCACAGCCAGCACATCGTCTGTTAGTGAAGCCATCTGCACTTCCAATTTCCCCAGGCGATCCTTCATTGAGGGACCCTGCTCTTTCACTCCCATCCCTTTCACTGTTGCTCAGGTCGGCCGCAAAGATTCCACCAGCTCCTCCTCTGGCAAAACCTTAACTTCCAACGGCACTCTGGAAGGACCTAGAGCCTCTTCTATCTCCTCAATGACATTGTCCACCATCTTGTTGCTTAGTTGCCGCCAGTCAATGTGACGCATAGGACTTCCCGCAGGGGAAGTATTCCCCAGTGGAAATCCTCATGGGAGTCTTAGCAAATTGTAACAACCTGACACTCACAGCTCCCAATTCCAGTAACTCTCCTTACAACCAGTCATGGTTCAAACAAAAGTTCATTTATTGAGAATAAGTGTACAGTTCCAAAGCATTGCTAAGACTGAGCCTGCGCACGCCAAAAGTTGCTTTTACCTTTTTTCCTTCTTTCCCCCTTCACCCCCCTAACGCCCCATTCTTCTCACATTCTCCCGGTGGTACGACCTCTAACGGTGAGTTCCTCCATCCATCTTCCCATAATCTTCCAGCGCCCCCCCCCCATGTCTTTTAATGGCAGAACCGAAGCAAGCGAAAAAGCCAACAATTAGCGTGATTAAATAGTTGCGAGGATTCTGACATAGAATCACAAATAATATTATAGGAAAACCTGAGTGCCAGATCCTTGTGTTTGGATGGCAGAAGTTGTGTTGGAGAATTCCTTTGCAAAAGTGTGATGCATTATGGCTCCCCACCTCTCCAGGGTTTTACAATCTACACACCCTCTCTCTACACAGTTCCCACTTGTCCTACTGACAGGCTGTTTGTTAATATGTAAATAAAATATGGACAAGAAAGCTTCAGAATTTTGAAGCTATTTAGGTTCTAGTAGTGTTTCCTGTATTATTTTAGCTGGTGTGGGTAGCAAGGGTATCAAACTAGAATGTATTCCAAATTTAGCTATGGCTGTTATTTATAAGTTTGCTCATTCAGTTTTCAGCAGGCTTTGCAGTTCTTACCTTACTCATTCACACATGTCAGGCAGAGATGATTGGTCAAAAAAACCACAACAACACACCATTGCTTACTCCATGGTGGCGGAATGTTTATTAGCTAACCACTAGAGTGAATGAACTCATACAGGGAGCCAGTTATTTGTCCTTTCTAGTTTTATGATAAAATAATTCTCCTTCTCCACAGTTTTCTAATATTATAACAATCTGGAGTAGTAGCAAAACTATAAAGTGGATTTAAATATATGACCAAATGCTACAGATGAACAGGATTTATATTCCCAGCATGATAAAGGTATGATCTATCATCCTATGATAAGTGATGATCTGTTTTCTTTCTTAATTTCTTTTGAACATATTTATGTCATGACTTTTACATCCTTCATTCAGCTTCCTTTACATATGACCGCTCTGTGGTTACAATCTTACACCCACTTAGCAGAGAGAAAATCCCATTGACTTCAGGAGGCATTCAGTGTGATTATGCTCAAATGTTGAGCAAGGCATTGCAAATGTAAATGGCAACCTAAACATGGTATGTGTACATGTCATAACAAATCAGGCAGGACAGACAGAACTGTCATATTCATTAATATAAAAATTTCAGAGACAATACTTTACCTTAAAATCTGCTCACACCTTCAGTTGGCTGTTCTCAAACTGAATTGTTAAAAAGTAAGAATTCCAAGATTTATGGCATATGTGAATCAATTCTTGTTTGTTGTTCAGTCGTTAAGTCGTGTCCGACTCTTTGTGACCCCATGAACCATATTGCGCCATGCCTTCCTGACCTTCACTGCCTCC